CGGAGAGGCATTTTGAGAGCTTTCAGCCTCTGTTTTAGGGTCAGGATCAGCATTATTTAGCTCTAGAGCCAGGAATCCTTCAAACCAGGGGCTGTTCAGTCTAAGGGTTTAATGTTGTCTCGTGTCTCTCCCTCCCTGCTGAGCTGTGAACGCAGAGGTGGTCGCACGCCAACACCCATGCGGACTCATGGACAAGGAAGGAATTCAATCCTCTCCGATCCCACCTCAAACCATCCTTTTAGCTGCAGGGAGCTGCATGCAATTTCCTCAGGGCCCCTTCCCACTGCCTGTGCAGGAGCAAGGATCACCCCTTCGCAAAGAGAGGGACTTTCAGCTTTTCTCTCTGTGTCTCTGCCTTTCCTTGAGTTAAGCCAGCGCAGGGCAGGCATGTTCCTGGAAGAAAGCAGCTAAGCTCAGAAACTAACATATTAAGCTCCATTTTGCCAGCCTTAGCGGCCTATCGCTAGCCTCGATTTCTGTTGGCACAAGCATCTACTAAGAGCTGAATTCTGGTCTCTGGAAATTTAGATTTCTGTTAACCTCAGTAGGGCCACTGTACCTGCCTGTGTGTTTCAGTGTACATGTTTTAAGTCCAAACACTGTGGATTTTGAGGCCTGGATCGGTTGAAACATTCCTGAGGAAACTCCAGAGAGCCATCGGGATCATAGGGGGACAATTCATACTCACCTGCTGAGCGCTGAATGCAGTATTTCCCCATCTGGGAGCGGTGTGGGGAGGTAGAGGACTGGGGTAGGGGTAATTCTTGGTTTTATTAGGACAAAAAACTTTCCCGTGAATAGCAACATCAGTTGCACTCTGCGTTATATTTTTTAAATTTGCCATAAATACAATGGGCTGTTTTATGATCCCTCTTGTGGCATGAAAAAAAAATACACTTATAAGAAAATCTCCCTCTGAGCCCACTTGGCTAGACAGATCCCCACGCATTGAATTTCCTTGACCTTGGCATTCTCATTTCAAGATCCCAGCTCTCTGCTTCCAAAGCCCTGTCTGTCAGTTGCTTTGCTTGCTCCCAGAACAGTTCTTTAGTTCTTTATCCTCTATAGGGCCTACTTTGCTTTTTTTTTCTTTTTTTTCTTTTTCTTTTTTTTCTTTTCTTTTTTTTTTTTCTTTTTTCCGGTCAGAGCAGTTTATTATGGCAGCCCTTCATGCAGCAGACTTGGAGCAACCAACATAGGCCAGATGTTGTCCATGTTTATAATTTGACAGGATGCCACAACATGGAGGGAGGTTCGCTAACAATATGTTCTGCAAAGTATTTTCAGAACCACAGTGACGGCTGCCAGGAACTGAATTAAAGCAGTTTCCCCCAGTGTCCATTATATGCTCATTCTGCCTTCTCCATGTCATTTATTTTTGCTGTTGCAGTATCTCTGCACCTGCACTTCATTGTACGAAAGTCAATCCAGCAAAAGTACTGATGACTCTCCACTCTCTTCCACTCAAAGTCCTTTCCTCTCGGGGGCTCTGTACACATGATAATCTCCTCTTGCTCAGCAAGGAGCAGCAAATGCCACTCACCCAGGCAGCGATGCAAAACAGAACGGATCTCCTGTAGCACTTGCATTAGGCTGACTCCATGGTCCAGTATCAGCACCCTCCACCCCTGCAGTAAATCCAGGAGGTAGCTAGTGATCACCTCCAAAACACAGGTCATGTTGTCTGAGCTTTACGTGAGTCTGTCTTGTCAGCCAGACTTCCAGGTTGTGCGCACAGCCGGCTGCATGTGTAACAGCCCTGCCTGCGTGCTACCAGGTGTAGTCCTTGCTCACTCTTACCCTATACTTTTCTAGCCTTGATTTATTTAACCTAGTGTGGAATAACAACTCTAGCATAATAACTGGGAATCAGGCATGCACTGGACCGTTTCAGGTCAGGACAGTGTCTTTCAGCAATTAGAAGTAATCAGCTAAGTTGCTTATTGACATGTGATGGCCTGCTCAAGCCCCTACCTGAGCTCTGTGGGCTTCAGATGCTTGCTTTGCTAAGGAGCTGTGGGGATGTTTTGTGGATCTGGGTCCACATGTGGCTTCCTTCCCTGCCTACCCCAGTTTCTATCTACAATTCAAAGCCAGCCAAAAAAACACACTGTGGATTTTGGTGAAATGTAGGGAATTGCACCCAGTTGGTTTAGGATGGTAGGGGACTGCCCGTTTTGTATGATTTCAACACTATACTGTGACTTGTTGCTCAAAGCTGGCCCCAGGTTCACTTACAGAGATTGCAGACCTCAGGAGATCTTTCAATAAGTGTGATATTAGAGTAGGTGGAAGTCAAACCTGAGTATCCTGTGTGGTTTGGGGTTGTGGAAAGCTAAGCCTCTGTCCCTCCCATCCCGTTCCCCAGAGTTTTTTGTGAAATATTGCCTACTTTGCCCTGCTTCTGGTTTTTCAGCCAAAGCAAATCTAAATCCTAGCTTGCATGTCACCAAGTTTCTCAGCCGGATGGGCTAAGGGCAGAATGTTGGTGCCCAACACAAAGATGGTTGATACGGACTAGATGCTTTGAGTGGTCGGAGTGTTTCTGGATGACCTTATAGTTCTAGGTTGGCTGACACCTCTCCAGGCTGAAGTCCAGGAAAACTTGCTACTGTTTATTAGGGTAGTTATTTCTTCTGTGAGTGACAGGGCTGAGAATAGACAATCATTTAGAAGCAATCAGAGCTGTTGAGACAGCTGCACCGCTGGCCTTTCTGATCAGCTTGTTAATCAACAGGATACATTTTACTGAGTAGTAAGAAAATATATATATACTTTGGCTGAGCCAGTTGGCAGCAAGAGACCTAATTTTTCATATCTTTTTCCTTTTTTTTTTTTTTTTTTTTTTTTTTTAACCCTGACCATCTTAACTAGAGCCTAAAGGACACAGAGGTGCAGAGGAGCAGCTAATACCACAGGGTAAGTCAATGGTTTCTGCTATTTCCTCTTTCAAAGCACAAAATGTTGTTATGCCCAGTCCTGTACATGATATGTCCCAAAAAGCAGAAGGGTCCTGTGGCCAGGAGTCTTCTGATTTGGAGCCTCACAGATACAGAGAGGCTGGGTTTCTTCTTTGGGTTTTATCTGATCATGGGCTGCTCTGGTTAGAGAGGCGAAATGCCAGCTTTATCATCTTTGAGACATTCAGTTCCCCCAGCACACAAAGGACGGAAAGGTGCTGCCCGATGGAGAGGCAGTTCACTGGAGGACATGTGGCAGTTCACTTACATGCAGAATTTATCCGCGAGCAGGACATGTGCTGAATGATGGGAGAAAACACCATTATTATCTTACTGGTATCGCCTGCCGGGACACCGAGAGCTGCTGGTGATGTTCTGGGCATCATTTTGCTAAGCTCCATACAAACAGAGAATACCCTGCTCCTGTGCAGAGAAAACCTTGGGGAAGGAAAGGCAACAGATGGTGTGTTGCAGGTTAATGACAGGGCCAGGAAGAAAATCCAGGTCTCTGCATGTCTGATTTGGTCTCCAGCAGTAGAATCCTCACCCCCTGCCTTCTCCCCCCCCCCCCCCCCAGCTTTTTCTTTCATATTTTTGGAGGATAAATACTCGCCATGGGCTTCAGCTCCCTGAAAGCAATGCCACTGCAGCAGAGCTGATTTATGCCAGCTGAAGATTTGGCCTATTCATTTCCCTCCCCCTTTTTCCCTGAATCCTTCCCTCTTTATTCTCCCTTTTGCATTTGTCTCTTTTATGCTGGTAACACCATTTGTCACCAGTATGAGCATTTGCCTGACACATTACTCAGTGCTGCTTCTCCTAGTCTTTCCTTTAGCGCTTTCCACCTTCAGGGAAGTAAGTGCCAGTTTCTTTAAAGCTCCACTGCAGCAGCGTGATTGAGGATGCTAGCAGCAAATGATTGCTCTTGGTCTGCAGAAGTTCACAGGATTGAGTTATAAAGGTTGAACTGAAGGATTGAGGCTGATTTATACAAGCGAGGAAATTTTTTGACCCCCACTCAGCAGCACAGTGTGTTGTGCTTGCAAAACAGCGTTTCTGCTGTTCTTGCCTCTATGCTGGAAAGAATTTGCTGCAGTAAAGTTTCAGGTGTGTTGGGGGTTTTTGGTAGGGGGGAGAAGCTGTTTGCAATGCTGTGAACAAATGCTCTTGCTCTCTTAAATGGGCTCCTGATCTTGCTAAGTACAGCATACACTGTCAGGTGAGATCCATTAAAGGAGCCCCTCTATTCACAGAAAAGTCTGCAGTTTGTGTCCTGTGGGTAAGCAAATTGATCCAAATTAAAACCTTACCTTAATTCCTTGTTCAATACTCAAATTGAACCAGATCTTTATTGATGACTGAATAAAACAAAAGTACAGGCACACACTCCCACACAAAGTCTTTGAAAAATCTCATTGCTTCAGTCTGCCCAGTTTCACCATGGATTAGAGATGGATAGATTTCATTTTTGTAAGAAAAAATAATTTGGACATGTCTGCAGAATGGCAAAAAAAGAAGAGAAGAAGGGGAATCTTTCAAGGGGGTCTAATATTGGGGGATTATTGCTTTGTTCTGAGAAATGCAGAGTTTGGATGAATGTTTGGAGGGACAAGGTTTTGTGCTCCAGGTGGGCTGTCCCACACCTAGAGTGGGAACCGGATCCAAATGTGGGAGCTGCAAATCCTGTGAGCCTTGGTTTTTATTATGTAGCCCTGTTCCCTTTGGTACCAGCTGTGAAGGTGTTAGCTGGCCAGCTTGTTTCCTTTTTTCCCTTCTCTCCCTCTATTCCCATCCATTCTTCTCCACCCCCTACATGCAGCTGGTTCTCCTGGCACTGCTCTTGGGGGGTTCAGTACCTCTTCTGATACCAGGGAAGGGGAAGGACACTGCTTAAGAGTTTATCAAAACTTAACTTGCGCTCCGCTGCGTTCTGGTCATACGTAATATACAGACTAAAACTTGAAATCTGAGTGCACTGAACTTTGGACTCAGACAGATCTTCCTCTGGCTTTGTAGCTTGCATCTTTCAAATACTCAAAGCCCTTTGGTAGCCCAGAAACCAGGAACCTCTGACTCTCTTGGCTCTGACAGTTAACGCTTTTTTTGTAACCGTTAACCACTTAATCTGAGTAGACAGACTAACTCACCCACCTCTCTAAGGTATTAAAGGCTTCACTGATGTTTGCACAGTATTTAAGTGTATCTTTCCAGTGATCACAAGTGTATCACTACTTTTGTGAGCCAAAGACGCATGGTGTTTTTCTGAAAAACACTGTAAGATTGCCAAGTGTTGTTATTATTTTGATAGTCTGAAGAAAACAACATTTAAGATTTTATTTAGTGTCATCAGAAATAGTCACTTCCAGATTACAAACACTGCCTACACCTTTCGTAGGCTTACTGGAGGTCTGAGGGGACTTGCCAAGAAGCATCCTGCTGGGCTGTAATTATTGTGTTACTGGTATTTCCAGATGGGTTTGCTCGGTACCCTATTCATTGATATAAATTAGTGACATCTAGTTACTTCAAAAGTGTGGGTGCATTAATTTCAGTTTGGGATGAAAAATGCTTGTGTACAGCATGGTACACTTGTTAGATGAATGAAAACAGGAGAAAACAGGGAAACATCTTCGATGCAGAATCTCTGGGTGGTAGGCATAGATCAGCCAGAGCAAGTGGGAGACAGGGTTTGATTTGCTTTTGCAAACATATTTTGTGTATTTTGATACGTTGGGACTACCATAGAGCTGACACGCGTCTCTGGACGAAGCTAGCAAAGGAGTGCTTGAGGGACCAGCCAGACCCTGCCCAGAGCCATTCAGACCTTGGGAAGGGGACAGTGTGAGCTCAGTTTAGCTTTGACCAGCACATCCCAGCTGGAGGTATGCATCCTGCCGACTTTTTGGGGTGGGCCTTGTGCGTGGGGACATGCTTGTTTCTTTAAAGATTGGAGGAAGAAGAGGAGAAGCAAGTTGCAGTCTGGCTCTTCTGCCCTACATACCAGCCAGCTCTTGCCGCCAGTACCACCCTGTCTGTGCTGTCTGTGCAAAGCTGCATTTCTCCCCCTTGCGCATCTTTTGAGTCCCTCTCCTCTGGTTTCTAGCTTGCTGAAGACCTTCTGACCTCAGCAGGGTCCGAACCTCCAACTGATTTCCTTTCTGAATGTTTTCAGGGCTGCCAGGACAGGTTGGTCCTCCAGGCCCAGTCGGACCAACTGGTCTTCCAGGACCACCAGGGCCAAAAGGAGAGAAGGGACAACCCGGTGAGAGGGGCCCAGCAGGGCCACCAGGTAAGTCCTGGAGGAGGGCAGTGCTACCATGATAGGAGATATTTCACTTTATACAAATTATCTGTGACGACAGATCATAAAAGGCTGGATGCACAAGATGTTGAGCATTGAATCCATTCCAGTGAGTCCCCTGGGCACTGAAATCAGCCAGTAGCTCTCAGAGCGGGCAAACCACCTGCACGAGCAATGACAGTCCCTGGGATTTCCCGTGGAGCCAGAGAGCTTGTCCCAGAAAGCTGCAGAGCAGGATCATGTTTCCCCATCGTGCTCAGGAGCTGTAAAAAGCAGTCTGTGATCTGTCAGCCTTTGGAGAAGAGCGTTCCCTGTTTAACCCTCTCACCGTGTGCCTGTTTTAACTCCCTTTTTTCTCCACCATTTGTGTCAAGCTGTCAGATGCCAGGATGTCAAACTAATGATGCTTTTGTATGTTAAGGGAAAAGGTTATGAGGCCATTCTTTCAGAGTACACTCCATTCCTGAGCTAGGAGACTTCCTTCATCCCCAAAATGTTCCTAAATCTTTTGATGACGGCGATACTACACAAAAGGTGCCAGACCTCAGGCTCTGTGCTTTCTATGTGTCTAAAAGGCTGTGCCTTGTCAATCTGAGCTCAGGAAAGATTTGAAACTTGGAGCGTGCCTTAAATGTGAGAGTGGCCCTGAACACTTTTTGGCATTTTCTGGCAACCTGTCAATGGCTAAGTCTGGCCAAGGATGTGTCTGCCTTTTGGTTTCTCAGTTTGCAACGAGAGCCTTCCAGCCCCACAGGAGGCAGAACCGGCCTGCTGCTGGACTGTCTGGGTTTCCACTGTTCTTTCTGTGCTTTCCTGGCAAGTTAGGTGACATAAAGGTATACGTGAAGGGGAAGAGAAAGAACGGTGCTTGATTTCATGCCTTGCTGCCTTTAGTTTCTTGCTCAGCCTCAGGGAGGGGGGAGATTTTACTCTTTCAGGAATTAAGCTTCGCAGCATCTTTGAGCCAAGTAAGTCTATGTACTTTGCGGAGGAAGATGCTAAAGGCAAATAATGGAAAATTGGGAAGCTGTTCCTATTTCCCCTCGCATCCCTAATTCCCACAATTACAGTTCAGGACAGAAATCCTTTGTCTTCTTACTGCCTTTTTACACGGTAGCATCATTAGCACATCTTCAAATGCACTAACACATCCTCTCCTGCCTCTGCACAGGGCTGTTAGGACCTCAAGGACCGAGAGGACTTCCAGGAGAAACTGGGATCCCAGGTCCCCCAGGTCCTCCAGGGCCACCAGCCACCCCAAGCCTCCCTCTTACCTTCCAACAAGGGGTTCTCTACTCACTCCAGCCCACAGCTGAAAAAGAAAGTAAGTTTCCTCCTTGGTTCCCATTTTTTTCTGGTACATCAGCAGAGTGGGCAGGCACGGAGCAGCTCAGCTCTTCCTCCCACCTCCCTACGAGGCTCTGCCAGGGCCCTGCCTTCCCTGGGAGCAGCTAGACAATCTGCCTCCATTGCGTGGGTCTCTTGGAAGTTCCTGTTCAAGATGAAACATGTAAGACTTAGAAGCTAGAGGGGTTCTCTCTAAAATGAGGAACTAAGTCACTGCTCTTCTGAAACCATCAGTGAGAACAGGGCTTGGGGGATTTATGGTTGTTCCCTGTGCCAGGTTTTCTGGGTTCATCATAGCTTTGAGGAAGCAACCTGGTGTCTTTTACGCTTCCATCATGAGTAGCTGCTGTGAAGAGGGTCTCTAGTGAAATGACAGAGCTCAGATAGCATCACGAGGGACAAGTGGGTAGAGAAATATAGCAGTCTGGCCGATTAGGTGCAACGAAACTGCGCTGTTGAGAGACCTCTTGGTGCCACTGTTGCGGTGTTACAGTGCTCAGGGTTGCTCAGAAATGAGTAAGTACCAAAAGTTTGCAACTCTGAAATTATGTAACATAACAAGGACATCTGTTAAATGCGTCTCTTTTCCTGCCCCCGCAGATGAGTCTTCCACCTGCGTTTCTGGTGCATCAACATTATCCCACATCCATGCAAAACACAGGATTAAGGACTTGAAAGCCCAGACCAAGACCGTGATTTATCCCTTCCCTATAACTGGAGGGTCAGGGTTTCTTTGAGCCTATGGTGATTTGAAAATATATTTATTTGATTTGTGCTGTGCATGGCAAGAAAAGGCTTTCTAGGAAAAGCACATCATGCACTTTTATCTGAGTGCTCTCAGATTTGGGCTTGATTCTTCCAGTCCAGTCTTGTGTAGCTGGTATCTAATAATGATAACGCAGAGCTCAGCTGTATCTCCACTTGGCTTGTAAACTCCTGGAGCCCCGGCTCTGTCGGGTCTCCCATCTCCACTCCCCCAGACTTCAGCTGTGCCTTTCCCCAGCTCTTCTGCTCACGTCCAGCTTCAAAGCTCAGTTGTATTAGTTAGAGCCAGGGATTAGTAAGTCTCCCTGTGTCTGACAGTTTTCTAGAGCTCTCCTTTCCCTTCCACCCACTGTGCTCTCCAGACTCCTTTTCCCAAAAGTGAACAGATGTATTTTTAATTTGGGAAGAATTTTAACAGCTCAATTTCATATTCAGTGACTTAGAGCGTATGGGCAGGATGAAATTAATTGTGGTTCAATACTAAGATTTTCACAAAATGTAGATTGAGCTGCTGCGTTCACAAGCCTTATAACAAGAAAGTTTTGCATTACAGTCACCTCACTGCCTTACAGGATCACACCAAATGGAGCCACCTGCATTTAGCCTTTTATTCCAAAGAATCTTTAAGGATGGTTTGGGTACTGCTGCTGCCCCCTCCCTCCAACCACCCTTTAAATTAAACTCTTTCTTGCAAAGTAGTGGATAAATTAAAAAGTGTATAAAGGCATTAATTACATGGCCTTCCCAGCTGATGTGTGAGAAGGGTGAACCCTGCATTGTCCCAAAATGGGAAGCGGATAAATGAGTGAATAAATATCTGTATTATCTCTGCCAACACTGGGCAGCAACAGGCTCCCACACGGACTTGAGGACCATGAGTAAATGGTGACTCTTACATCCCTGGGGCAGCCCTGTACTTCACCTCCATACCTGTGGTGGATTTCTTGGTTTGCAGAAGGAGTAGCCCAAAACTTTATGACAATTTTTCTCGTTTTAAAAATATTTCTTGATACAAGTCTCACTGCAAGTATAAGTTATCTATGTGGTCATGATAAAGTTACGGCAATATCAAGACCATTTTCTTGCAAAACTTACCATTTTGCTTGTGTATTGGCTCATTTTGCCTACCACAGGTTGGTGGAAAGCTGATCCTCTACAACCAGTAAAACTTAGCCTTGTAAATTCTGGGTAGCTTTTTTAAAAATTTATTTATTTATTTTGAATGGAGCACATCTGAAAACTATAAACACAAGATTCCAGCTGCTGACAGCAGAGGGAAGCATATTCCTGGTAATGGGCATGTGCACCCACGGAGATGTGAGAAAGCTGTATCAGATTATTAGTAGTAGTACAGTGTTTGGTTCCGCCTGAACGTGGTTAATGTATGTGCCTTTATTAATCGCAACAAGTTCCTGTTGGCAATGTTTATCAGCAGGCAGAAGCCAAAAATGGGGAGACAAATATTTTCTCACAGTTTCACTGTGCTGTGGTAAAGAAATTGGTCCCAGTTGTCTCCCTCCAGATCAGGTAGCAGAAAGAAATTAAGACAGGATTACTTCATTTCCATCCTGTCTCAACAAATCAAGCCTATAATGGGGGAATTTATCCCTTAGAAACATTAGACATAGGCCAGAAGCTAAACTGCCATACCCCACTGCTGAGGCTGCTGCTACGAGGATCGCTTGCTTTCTCTGCCACTTAAAAATGAGTGGATCAGGTATGTGGTCTAGAGTCAGCTCAGTCCTCTTTCTCATGCTAAAGCTAAGACAATTTTTAGGGAAAAGAGAAAAGAATGCAAGTTTCACTCTGTTGAGGGCTGTGTTTTCTTACATCTCAAAGATTTCAGTTTGCAAAGGACACATGAGATAACATTAACCTATTTTGCAGGGAGAGCAAGGGGAAACCAAGGCAGAGTAGGCTTGCCTGTGTGCCCAGCATGTCATTGGTGAAAAAGAGCGCAGAACAGAGATTTGCGAAGTGACATCCCAGTGCCTGCTGCCATGTGTAGCCCTTCCTGAGGAAGAGAGAACAGAGCAGAGGAAGTGAAGGGGAAGGAGAGGAGGAAGGGAATGGCATTTGATTTAGAAAACCATACCGATTGCTTTCAAAGCTGTGTATGCCTGTGCCTCTGAGATGCCTTGCCACTCTGGCTGGGCAAGTTTCACTGCCTTGTTCGGGGCATTTCTGTGCTGTTTCAGGTTTCCCCTTTGCAGGATGTTTGTGCTGTCTTCCAGAGAACGTAGGTGCTTGTATCTGCCCAGGTCAGACTGGTTGCGCTCTTCCTCTTGGCTTGGCTAGGAGTCGGAAAGCTCCTGGAGCAAATTGTGTATGAAGGTCTTCTCAAATGAGGCAGACAGTTGTCTGCCTTCTGCTCTGGTATATCCAGAAGCACTGAATCCAGCCTGAGTCAGCGCAGGAGATGGCTGAGAAGGGAAGATTCCTGCTACCATTTGTTGCTGGAGCTATCTTGTGACTGCTATAACAACCTTCAGCTGCAGTGAGCCCCAGAATGTCCCCCTGTTTATAAGGAGAAGGGAGTTTATAAGGAGATATGAGTTCTTCCTGCTGCTTTATGGGAATATGGAGAGAGTCCCTTAAAAAAATGTGAGGGTTGTGTTTTAACGCACTTTAATCCCATTCACTCACAGTATGTTTTATTCAGAGCTCATCCTGGAAGGAAACCTTGATCTGAGTGAGTTTTGCTTGCCCAGGCAGCTGAGGAAGGAGACACTCTAGATTTCCTGCATGTCCATACTCCCATGCTGCAGAAGCCAAATCAGGAGCTACTGAGCTCAAGGGCTGTTGAGCAGAGCTCTCTTCTGTGTTACAATTATGGAATCACCTTTCATAAATAACTTTGAGGCAAATGTCAGGATATGTGGATTTGTGGGAGTAACTCTGTCATCATAATAATGTACCATTTAGCTGGAATGTTTTGTAACCCAAATCTTTATCCCTGGCTTACCTCCAGCAGTAATTAAATCCTGGTTGTTTGCCACCCATCCTCTCCCCCTCTCAGTGGATGTGCATTTGGTTTTGTTGACCACTTGTTCTTTAAAAACAAAAGGCTCTGCAATTGTTAATGCCCTCACTGCTGTTCGATGCTCATTTCCCAATTTCATCTTACTCCCAAGCCGTGATGGATTTTGACATGGTCAAATAAAACTCAAATTAATTGGATTACACACTTCACTTGGGTACCTTTCCTTCTGAACATGAAAGCAGTCTCAATTGTTTAGTTTCAGGGCTGTGAAGAAGGGAAGATGGATGGGTTAGAAACAATAGTCAAAGAAATACCTGTTTGCATTCAGGCTTTAGGTGCAAAATTTGGTTCTCGGAGGGATCCGGGTTAGATCTTGTGCTATTCTGCTGCCAGGAAGGCATTGCAGAGATACACTGTCATCCTTGGCAGTTAAAGAGATTTCACAGTTTTCCCTAGGAACTGCTTTCAGACAACTAGCCTGAAAGTCCTCTCTATTATTGCCAACACTCCAGAAGTTGAAAAGGCTTCGTAATGTGTCTGCTAACATTTCTGGAGATTTCACCTTATGTCCTTTGGGCTGGACTCTGCAGAGTAAACAAGCACCCTTCTGATCTTCCTGGTGTCACTTGATATTTACATCAATACAGCAGTGAGACATTTGCAGTCTTTTACACCTGCGAAGGGTTCCCCTGAATTCTAATGTGATGAGTTAAAGGCATGGGTGAAAGGAAACTTGAGTAAGTTTGAGGTCATGGGCAGGAGGAGATGGACATTATTGCTGCATGGTGGCCTCTAGCTATGGAAAATGTGGACTTTTCAGAGGGTTTACTATCCCAGTGACCAGGAGCCAACATCTTCATCCAGGTTAAATGCAACAGGAAATATGCAGTTGGTCCTATAGCACTGGTCAGGACAGTGGATTTGCAAATCTTAGCAGCATCAGGACATGGGGGTTCCCTTCCTTGCTTTGTGACCTTGGTGTCTTGGTCAGTCGTGGAATTTTTTCCCCTAGGTTTCCACAACTGTCAAAGAGCGTTGTGGGATGCTCAGATGAAAGATTCTGCCATACAGGTACCCCCCAGACTACTAGTATGCTACAGTACAGGTCTATAGGGAAAAGGGTTGTTGAAGATGGTTTTGGAATTGCAAAAAATAATAAGGGTTGCTTTTTTCTGTGTAGTTCTGTTTTTTCTATTCAGTCACCAGCTGAAGTGGTAAGCCTATTGGTTCAAGTATGAGGGAAGATGGGGGCAGCTACAGGCTGCTGATTTTTATTCCTAACAGGAGAGGACTGAGAAAGATGTGCGAAAGCACAAAATTCCTCCAGTTCCTGCTG